CAAATATTATTAGATACTATCAACAAGGTGTGTGTGACACCATGATCTTATTGTTATGTGAGATTTTAATGGCAGGGTAGGTAGACACCCCCTTGGAGCCATATCTAGGTCCTTACAGTGATGTTAACAAAGAGTGCAATGACAATGGATGGCACATACTAGAACTATATGCTGAGCATGGTTTATATGACATTAACACTTTTTACCAACATTGTCAAACTCAGATATACACGTGGTACAAATGTAACAGTTTCATCTAAGCCTCACAGATACATTATATTTTGACATAACTGTCAGGGACTCAAAACTACACCACACATAAATATACATACTGACCATTTTCGAGTCATCATGGTTTTAAAGAAAACCTACCCAAAGCCACATGGAAGTAATCAACTTGAAGAAACTTAATGAAGATATAGTTAAAGAAGGAGTGAAACGAGATGTTCGAAGTGTTACAAGAAAAGACCCAGAATATTAAGGAAGCATGGCAAGATTTTAAGAGTACCATCATTAATATTTTAAAAAGTAAATGTGGTAGGAACAGTATGGTAGAATGTAAAAGTCAAAGTAGCAAAAAACGAAAAGAAAAAACTTTTAGAATCATGGTTAAAGAAAGAGAATGATTATGTAAAGTATGGAATAGCAAGAAGAAACAGCAAAAAGGTAGTGAAGAAGTCAAAGGAAGAATACTGGAAGAAGTATCGTGAACATTTGAGTGACCTATCTAAGGATACCCCCAGGGAATTTCACAAGAGTGTTAAAGCCATATGAACTTTAACTCGGTATCAGCCATCAATAACAGAAATGGTAAACTACTGTATGATGAAACCAAAGTCAAAGCAACTTGGGAAAAATACTTTCAAGAACTCTTAAATCCAACAGGGACAAAGAACACATCAACCCTGTTCAATCTCAAACAGAAAGAACACAAAAAGTCATCAGTATTAGAGCAGTAAGTAAGACAGGCAATAAAGACTAGCCTAAGAACAAAGCTGTGGGAATCGATGGAATAACATCAGATGCAATTGTTTCAGTTGATAATGTTTATATTGAATTGTTGCCAGTAGATAATGTTGATATGGAATTGTTGCCAGTAGATAATGTTGATATGGAATTGTTGCCAGTAGATAATGTTGATATTGAATTGTTGCCAGTAGATAATGTTGATATTGAATTGTTGACAGTAGATAATGTTGATATTGAATTGTTGACAGTAGATAATGTTGATATTGAATTGTTACAGGTACAGGAGTTACTTAACTCCTCAGAAGAAGTCTGTCAAAGTAGTCTGAATTGTGATGGGGGGAAAGGACTACAGATGCTTGTTCTTAGTCTAGTTGGACTGGAAGTAAGTAGAAATTTTAGGTAATTAAATTTTCATCTTGAATCTACTTCTTACAAACTAGTTTGTAGTCTCTAACTAGTTTACTTAGAAGCCAAAAGATAAAGAATCACCACTTTCAAATATTCAACTCTCAGTTTAACTTGCATAGTTTATTACTGTTTGAATTAATTTCACCATTTCACATACAAGTGATCTGATATTAGTAGCAATATTGACTTAATGTTGTTTTGTCATAGTTATCGAAGACAGTAAATTAAATTCTGGGCACATTTGAAAAATTCAGAAAGTTGAAAAGATAATAATTTCTGAAGTCTGTGTAAACAATAATAATTTAGAAACATCATTAAGTGGAATAAACAAAATTACAAGAGACTGGGTAGGGCTACTCGAGGTATTCAAAATGGTCAGAAAGACTTGCTAATTGGAAACATAAACAACAAAGTTTTAATAAAGTCAAACGAAAAAATTGACAACTTGAGACACAGGGTAGCATGTAGAAATCACTGTGATATCAACAGTAAACCATCTAATAAACACTAATGGCTTTAATTAATCTCATAATTCTTTTTTACCAGTTTTGTATTTAAATACCAGCAAAATATTTTCCTATAAATGTAAGAAGTTGGTGACCCCTCAATTATGGTTTCTTTGGTTGCTACAAAGTATTAACAATATGGCTGTTGCTAGGACATCAACTAAGTGAAAGACACCTACAATGCATGAAGTATAAAGATGGGAAGGAACCATTTTATCCACTCATCTGATGGTCTGACACCAAAATCAACCATCGCTGTGAAAAAAAAAGGTGTGGCCAAAAAAGGATTGAGTGTGTG